GGGTCGGGTCAGGTATGGGCAACGCAAATGGCAAACACCCAATTGGCAAGATGTACACTAACAGGTTATGGCATGCATATAGTTTACACAAGTAAAAACACAAAATTGGCAATTTTTTGGACAATTGTAACTCAATAATAGAAATATGTTGTATTTCTGTATATATACACACTATATAATCTTATCAAATGCAAACACATCCAAACAATCAATTGTGGTCTTGTGGTTCAATTGTCTACACAGTGATCAGGAGGACCTGGGTTCAATTCCCGTACCTGCCCATCTTTTTCTTGCAAACACTATTTGGCAATAAAGCTAAATATGACAACAAATTATTCAATTTTCATGACTACCCACATAGCTCAGTTGATATGTACTATGTCAGCAATGTGAGCAATCGCTGGTTCGAATCCAGTATGTTTAAATGTTATTGAGGAAACACATCGCAAGTTTTGTAAAAAAAAAAAAAAATTTGCTTACAACCACAGCAAATCCTGTAATTTATGGATAATTAGGCAGACTATCACTAATCCATTTGCGTTACATACGTATTATTAAATTTTGGTTGAAAAATTTTAAAATGCAAACACAGCGTTATGTTTACCAATGTTACCTTTTCCAGTATAAAGAAGCGGAAAACAACCGTAAATGTTGGGCTTTCCAAGTCAAAGAACTACTATTTTCGCACGATTTTGGTTTTGTTTGGTTAAACCAAGGCGTGGAAGATAACTTCTTTTTTGTCTCTATTCACCCAAAGAGTTCATGATATGTATAAACAAACTTGGTTTACAGATATCAATAATTATCCTAAACTCGATAAATACAGAGATTTTAAGATCGAATTTGGATGTGATAAATATTTGCATTTAATAAAAGACAACAAGTTACGTTCTGCGCTATGTAGGCTTAGAACATCATCCCACAACCTTCGGGTTGAATCTGATCGTAAACTAAACATACCGAGGAATACGAGAATCTGTAAGTTATGTAATTTAGGGTTGGTTGAGGATGAATACCATTTTTGCCTTGTATGTCCACGTTATGTAAATCTTAGAAAAAATATTTACCTATATTTTATCTGTCAAATCAGACTTACGAAAGATTTCTTCGTTTAATGCAGTTTGACAACCTTTCTGTGCTTAAAATTGCGAAATTTGTATTCTACGCTTCTAAACACAGAGACAATCTACTTAACCAGTTGTGACTAGTTGATCCAACAATTATTTAAAGGAATCCCTCTGTATGTATTTTTCTATTTTTTGATTTATTGTACCATAGACCTGAGGCCATCGTACTGAATAAAATTCATATCATATCATATCATAACCTTTCCTGCCTGATGTATGCTGATGACCTGGTACTGATTTCACAATCTAAATTAGGCCTACAGAATGCCATGAACAAGTCTGGAAACATACTGCAAAAAGTGGAATTTAAAAATCGGAAAATTAACACAACAAAATCAAAAAATATGATATTCAACAAATCTGGCAGAGTTCTCAATAAATTCAAGTTCACAATCTCTGGCCAGCAATTAGAAAATGTAGCCTCCTATACCAACCTAGGAATCAAATTTAATCTAACTGGGAAGCTCCACAAAGCCCAAGAGGACCTTAAAAATAGAGCTCTAAAAGCCCATTTCAAAATGAAACAATTTTTGTATTCCGACACTGCAGTTCCATTAAAAGTACATATAAAAATGTTTGATGCTGTGGTAAGACCAATACTGCTCTATTGCAGTGAACTGATTACAACAACCTATAGAAAAATGCATGTAAAATTCTGTAAATCTCTTTTAAGAGTAAACTCCAAAGCTACCAATCTTGATTGTCTACTAGAACTAGGAAGATATCCATTAGCTATTACTAGTATAAAACAAAAAATTAAATACTGGTGTAAAATAAAAACAAAACAAAGAACAACACACTTCTTTCAGAAGCCTATAGACTCGGCATTCATTTAGACAATTTAAACATTTATAATTGGACATCTGGTATAAAGAATCTGTTGACTCATTTAAACATGAGTCACATCTGGGAAGAAAACGATTACAAGGATGAAAAGCTGCCTAAATCAGTCTCTGAAAAGCTTGCAGCCAACTTTCAAACATACTGTTAAGATTCAATGTATGATGATAATACAGTAACAAAACATCAGAATAAACTCCGCACATACAGACATCTAAAAACAAAATTCACTTTTGAAAAATATTTAGAAACAGTGCAAAATCCCTTCCACAGGTCATCCATGACCAAACTAAGAATTAGTGTTCATGTGTTAGGAATAGAAACTGGAAGACATAAAAACATTGCCATTTCAAAAAGAAAATTTCAGTTTTGTCAATTAAACGAAATAGAAAATGAAGAGCACTTCCTTCTTAAATGCGGTCTCTATAAAAAAAAAAGAAAGAAATGAGCTTCTCAAAAATTCGATGCTACCTACAAAACTTCAATACTAAACAGTGGTAGTACAAAATTGGTTACTCAAATTGCTAAGTACATACATGATTGTTTTAAAATCCGAGAGAACAACTTGAAAAAAGTACTACCAGCTGCCTCAAAATAAATAAAAACATTTATTTAATTTATTATATTTTATTATTAACTTTGTTTTATACTCTTTTAATCTCATTTATTTTTTCTTTCATTGCTATACCTTTAATGTATTTTATAATCAAAGTCCCATAGAGGATGCGATAACGATGATTATTATTATTACAATGACAATTCGTTTATTTCCTTGAATATTTTCTTAAATACACACTCACATAAAAAAAATACTATTGTATTAATATGCAATGAAATGCTGTATCATACAGTGTCTCTGTTCACAGTCTGTGAAAATTACGAGATTCAACCAGCAGTTTCACTATCCATGAAACTAAATATGATTTCCCGGTCGATCGCGTTTTTGAAAACATTGCGATTTCCCAGTGTTTCAAAAGTGTACGACAAACGAGGAGGTGAATAACAATGAAAAATATGTACACTCTCTATTTTTCCACTGTCACACATTTCCACATCATCGTACGCCACGGCCTTGGCCTCTTTTACGAAGCGGAAATAAACTCTGGCGGCGAGAATGACATTTCCAATGAATAAATGATATACAATTCCATGTAAATGTTAATTTATTTTCAGACAATAATATACTCGCTCATTTTCTCAAAGTCGTTGACAATGCGATAACAATGCCACTCGCATTGTGTATATTTTACCCCTAGGTCTAGTGCCATTTTACCCCTAGATCTAGCAGGCCCGTAGCCAGCACTTTTGAATAGGGGGTTCGAAAACAACAATTATATATTTGATGTGAAATGTGTGAACTTTATAATATTCAAAAAATGTTTTTGAGCTCTGTTACAGACATTTTTATATTATCGGTTTTAAATTAAATTTTATTAGTAAGATATTTCACATAATATCTTTGAACTATTTTACCATTTTAGAGAAGGAGTCCTGAGCCATTCCTCACCTACAGACAAACACATCCACACCATTGATCCACTACGGCAAAATGTTGTATTATGTAATTTTATTTCTGTACAGGGCCTCAGCCTATCGTACAAAATGTAGTGGGTAGAAAAGTGCGTAGCACGTTTTAAACACAATACAACATCCATGTAAACATATGGTACTAAGTTAAGCTGAATTCATATTCATCTCGTCGCTTGAAAACTTTTAAAAGTTATAGAGGTATTTGATATATGGTGTGGCAGTTTGTGTAGCGACGAAGTAAGCCTAGATTGTCAGTATTTGCATAATTGCATAGGGTTATTGACAAAAGATCAGCCCTTAGATCATTATAAAATGGACATATAAAAACAAAGTGAATTTCATTTTCTACCATGCTAAATTCGAACGTATCACTGCAAAAACTAAAAAAATATTGATCTAACTGTATTTTTGTGTGTCTGCCTAATTCAACATTATGTTTATGGCCAAAACAGCGAAAACTCGTCAGTATATATTTTGGTCTATAATTGCTTGCCAATAAATCTCCCAGGTTATAATACTACTTTGATTTTTCCAAAAATACACAGCCTGGATGATTGTGAAATTGAGGC